CATTATATTTCATTTGGAAAATGGTAGTGTCTTCTCTCTCCATCCAAAGGAAAAGAATTTAGTAATCTACTTTTAAATATTTCTGTAACTCCTGCAATGTGGCATATGGCTGGTGAAATGGCATGTCTGGAGTTCATTTCGGTAGGTGAGGAGTGATAATAAAAGTTTGTAGATCAGTAATTTCTCATATTTGTCGGTCCTGGTGCTTGAACTCTGGGCCTGGGCACTGTCCCTTTAGTGCTCAACCACTTGAGCCATAGTGCCACTTCTGGCTTTTTCTGAGTAGTTTATTGGAGATAAAAGTCTCACAGACATTCCTGCCTCAGCTGGCTTTGCCTCATGATCCTCAGCTCTCAGCCTCCCTGGTAGCTAGACATAAGCCACTGGTACTTGAGAAGTGATTTTTCTTTATATTTTCTCTCTTTTATTTATTTTTAATGTAAAAGTGATGTATATAAGTACATTTCTTTTTAAATTGTGTTTGACTTTCTCCCTCATTTTCTTCCAGTATTTTCCCTCTTGATCTCCTGCCCAAGTTGTTTAGTTAGTTTCCAACATAGTGTCTAGCAAGTATCACTGCTGGGGCTGGGAAGGTGGTAGAGTGTTTGCCTTGTATGCATGGGGCCCTGGGTTCGATTCCTCAGCAACACATAAGCAGAAAAAGCCAGAGGTGGCCCTGTGACTCAAGTGGTAGAGCGCTAGCCTTGAACTAAAGAGCTGAGGGACAGTGCCCAGGCTCAGGACTGACAAAAAAAAAAGTATCACTGCTGAATTAGTTCACCCTTTGTCCCACCATTTCTCTTTACCATAATGATTCTAATAAGCTCAGCCTTGTCACGAATCACTTTGTATTATCAATATTGTGGATGAAATTGTGTTTTACATATTATTCTAAGGGTGCTGTGAGTGGTGGTAAACTTCAAAGGCAAATGGTAGGTGGCTTAGAACCAGATGTAATCCAGTGAGTGTATATGGTTAGGCCTTGCAAGAGAACACTTGCAAATGTGAGTAGGGTTCTTGGCCTTAACAGCTAAACAGGAATTGAATGTAGATGAAGAAATATGACTATGGCTCAGTTATTCAGACTTACCCAGCTCAGATGGCCAGAATTTATGCCTAATATCCAGCTTAGGGAGTGAAGAACAAATCCAGGTATCACTAGTTGATATCTTAAATTTATTGCAGTACGGCTGAACGTCATCAAGATTTAGGAAAGGTAGAAATTGTTTTCTTCCATCAAGAGCCCTATCTTCCTATTCTCCTTGGCCATGCCTAGTGTAAGAATCTTGTTATGTATTAGAGAATAGAATTCTGAACATTTTGAGGGTAGCTTCTATTGTAGGCTTTCTGCTTATTCCTTTAAAGTAGTAGAAGAAAACTGATACAAACAAAACTTGAATTAACTTACTAAAATATTTCTCTTTTCCTATCTTATTCCTATATAACATACTTGAATACATATGTGTTAGATATTCTTTCCTCTGTTGTTTCCAGTTCCCAGATATCTTTGTCAGTTTCTACCAGATATCATATATGAGCTATGTCCAGCTATCTGGTTGAATCTGTTATTCTTTCATTCGGTATCATTTGGTATCATCTTATCATTTGGTATGTTTATTATAATTTGAGCTTCTTACAATATTGAATATCAATATTTTAAAGTGTGTGTACTCTTGTACAATATGTCTTACTTACTACAGACTTACTACATTAACTAGTCTTCAGCTGAAACAAAAAAGAATTTTTTCCTGATGTTGGAGGAAAAAAGGAATATATTATATTTAATAATATATGATATGCCTGTTGTCAACAAAGGACATTTCAAAAGAAGTTTAAAGGTAAATTGGCCCATAGGAAATACTTTTCTTATAAGTGGTACCTTAGAAAAATTCTAATAGTTAGTATTTATGGAATCTTTAAGGTTAGTGTATTAAATGTCTAGTCCTACCATCTCTCTGTCATTAGGGATTTCTTAGTGAAAAGAGTAGCTAGAACTTCCTGCCTTCGGAGGATACATTTTAGCAAAAGAAATACAGTAAAGAATGAGAAGTACAATCTTGGTGGAGCCTACCTGTAATCCAAATATGTAGGAGGACTGTACTATATAATGAGACTATCTCAAACAGTGAGGAAGACAAAAGAAGGAAAGAAGGAGATATTTCTTTTATTGAGAAAAGAAAAAAGTAATGAACAAAATGTTTAGTATGTTAGATGGAGGTAAGTGCTTAAGTTTAAAAAATGAAGAAAAGAGAGAGGATGTTTCAGGAGCAGACGGTTGTTATAAGACCTAATTGAGAGGTTGATATTTGAGTCAAGACCAATAGGAAGCAAAGGAGTGAATCATGTGACTATCTGGAGAGAAGAGTATTCAGGACAAGGAGCCTGAGGCAAGAACATATCTGGTGTGCAAAAAAGTTTTAACAAGGAAGTTTGGAATGTTGAGAATGTTGGGAGATGAGGTCAGAGAAGTTACAAAAGATCAAAAAGTTAGCATAGAGCTTAGCTGTATTTATTGTACCATCATAGAAGTAAGTGACATGAAAATCTGAGCAGTCTAAGTGTATAGGAAATTTTAGAAACCCATTGTCTTTCTTTCCTTTTACCGTTCTTCAGGGCGTTGTCTAAATCTGTGATCAAATTTAGGTCACTGTCTCAAAGATATTCTAGCCCATAAAAAAGATAGAATGAAGTTTATGCAGACTTTTCTTTAAAACAAGTGAGTCAGATATTGCAAATATCATCTGTTTATAATCTCTAGATAGAATCACCTGGCTCCATTCCATTGGTAATCTCTCTTGGCCTTGAGAAATGTGTGATAATTTTGCTGTAGAGGAGGAAAATGGAAATGCTAATCAGTGAGCCATAGCTGCCATTTCAGTCATCCGAATATCCATGTGTTTACTGTTGTAAACATTCCGACCTTCTTTCCCTGAAGAAACAACCAAGGTACCAGGAACCAGTTCAGTGGCTCATACCTGTAATCCTAGCTACTCAGAAGGCTGAGATCTGAGGATCATGGTTTGAAGCCAGCCTGGGCAGAACAGTCTGAGAGAGTCTTACCTCCAATTAACCACAAAAAGCCAGAAGTAAAATTGTGGGTCAAGAGGTAGAGCACTAGCCTTAAACGCAAAAGCTCTGGAACAGTGCACTGCCCTATATTCAAGCTCTATGACCAACAAAGACAACAACAACAACAACAACAAAAAATCCACAATCAGGTTGTCATCTATCTATTGCATTAAACTAAGTTCACTGAGAGAGAGAGATACATTGCTTTTTTCAACTCTGCAAGTCCTGTGGCCTGTGAATTAAACCCAGTTATATGTTCCATCTCTATCCTTCTCACATATATTCAGCATTTTGTGGTGAATCAGAAATAGAAATCAGTAAAAAGTCCCCCACTTTGTGGTTTGCAGTGCTGGGCAGGAGTAGGGAAATCCCCAGGCTTTTCAGTAAAGAATGCCCTTAGTCGTGCTCTCTAGTAAGAACACCAGAGATGATCCTTGTCTTTGCTGTCTGTATGTTTCTTCCTTATTCACCTCCATGGCCACATTTGCCAAATACAAATCTATCAGAAACATAATAGTGGTTTTATATATTTGTCCGCATACAGTTGTATGTGCCAGTGAATTGACTTTATTCTTTTCTGGATGTATGTAATATGCCTGCCTTATTTCTCTCTGCCCATTTAATGGCCTTATTTTAGTGAAATCCATCTTCATCCCTTATTTTAACAGTCACTATCTTGAACCTATGTGAAACTGCAGGCAGCTAATCAGGACAGCAGAATCCTTACCCTTCTCTTGACCGCAAGACTGAATCCATTGTTTTGTCAAGAAGTCTTAAAAAAATTCCTTTGAGAAAGATACTAATCCTACTGTTGGGTATTAGAATAGTTGATTGCAAGACCCCCACATTTCTGCTTATTTCCCACCATCTTGCTTACAAGTTAGCCAATTCTTGTCAGACTAAACTCATGAATGAAGAACCACCAACACAACTGTGGCAATAGTCATGGTGTTTCAGTAGTACATCTTCCTCTTGCTAATACATGTTAACCAAGCTACTGGCCTGTATTTTAGGATTGTTGTTAATTGGAGACAAGCACCTCATGGACTGTTCTATCTGAGCTGGCTTCAAATTGAGATCCTCAGATCTTAGCCTCCTATGTAGCTAGGATTCTCAGATGTGAGCCACCTTCACCCAGGGTTTGGCAGGAACTGAGCTGAGCTATAACTTGTAACTATTACAATTCCTAGCCTATAGTAGGTGTTCAGCCACTTTTTGAATACATTTTTAAATAAATAGCTATTTTATGTCTGAGTAAGGTAAGTGTGGAGATGTGATCAGACTTAAGATTAGAGTCAGCATGAGACAAAGCCCTCACATAAAATATGTATGAACTATCTGAGATTAAATGTTACTTCTATGAAATGGGGGATATGTGTGTTTATATATATATATATATATATATAAAGATAGCATTGTTTGGATCTGCATTGAATATTGGTATTAGTGATGCGATTATTTAGTGTGAAATAACTTTAGAATTTGGGAAAATCACTTTTTTGGGGAAATAAAACAGTGATGAGTGAACATGGTCTTCATTTGAACATTTACATAACATAATTATACCAAAGACAAACAATTTTACTTAAGAAATATTTAAAATGTGAGGAAAAATCCATAGGATAGGGAAACTGTCTTCTCAAACTAAAACATATTGTTTGAGGTATTCATAATGATTGTTTCTTAACCACTGAATTAAGAAAGTATTCTGTCTACTGTTGTATTTTAATATATGTAGTGTATCCTTAATATAATAAAGATGTAATAGTGAATATCACTACTAGTGAAATTGTAATTCCTAAGCCTTGTGGACAACATATATCTTTTGTTTAAATTGAGGATAGTAAATAATGAAACATAAGTTTCCCTAGAGTAGACATTTTTTAATACCTACTATCTTATTTGAGATATTGCTATTTCTTTCTTTATAGGGGGAACATTATATTTCTAACAAGAATCAGTAATTGGAAGAACAAGATTAAGTATACAATTATGTTAAAATGAAGTTTTGACCAGCAGAGGTAAGGATATTTTTTTTGTACTTAATTTGTCATAGATTGTTTGCTAAGTTTTAGGGCAGAACTATTTAAAGAATTATGAGGGGTATAAATTTTACCCTACTGCCGGGCGCTGGTGGCTCACACCTGTAATCCTAGCTA